GTGGGTTAATAAGATATCACGCCAACAGCTTAAGTTGCTCAAAATAAATCTAATTATTCCAACAAGTAATATTTAATTCTTACCTTAATTTTTTATTCTTCGTGGAAGTCAATATCCGGTAGCAGATCTAGAGCAAGATTGCACCAATTTGCATCGTTGATATTTGAATATATCTAGTCCGAAATCTCGTTTTTCTACATTCTACGATCGCTATACTTTAACCGCATGTAAATAGTTCATAATCAGAGTCGAAGCAAACACGCACGATTTAATTTTCATTTCCGCGTGCGGAAAATGAGTCATATATACTCTTATATCGTGCACATCTTGATTGTGCGTGACACTAAGTGAAAAAAGCAAGCATAACTTGACATTCTTATCATCGTAGGTGCAAACGTCTGTTACTTGCAACGTTCATCCTGACCGTGATTAACATATTAATTTTATGATAACGGTTCCACGGATGCTCTAACAATAAGTGATTCTGCAAATGCATCTTATATTCGAAAGAAAACAAGAAAACCGTCGATTAACATATAAAATTATTATAATGATTTTGATTTATTACGAAGTACCTATATTAACGAATAAAATGAAATATATATCATTGTCTCGTTGAAGTTTAGAATTTTCATAAATTTTGAAAAATATATTAAATCCACACGCGATTAAGCAAAGTTTCCGATTTTTGGTATATTATTTTATTTTTATTATAAAAAAATGAGCAAACGAGATTTTTTTTAATTTTTATATGTATAATAGCAAAGACTTTTTAGAGTGTCTAAAAGTCTTGATGATTTAAACTGTGTATCAATATCTAGCGTAGTTTTTACAAATATATTTTGCGCCAAGATTAAAATAATTTAAAACTCACCGACAGGCGAGACAGAGTTGTAGTATAACAAGTCGAATTCAATCTGTAATAGAAAAATATGTGCAAATTATATAAAGCAGTGTTTAAAATAATTCAAATTTTTTTTATTAATTATAACTGAATTTGTCGGATTTTAATAACAAAAAATTTAATAAGAAAAATTTATTTACAAAAATTACAATTTACGAAAAAAATTATTGAAATATAAACTTTTATGGATTTTGTATAAAAATAAATTGTGCTAACCTGAATCGTTGCTCTGTCATTGCATGATTCCCCAGGACTCCAATTCTTTCGTATCACTTACATAACACTCACGGAAATACAAAGTAATATAATTAACTACGACGCGCGGCATTTGTCACGGCACTCCCGATACCACTAATTAGTAACTGGTATTTATCCGCGGAATTAAACTTTTCGATCATTCTTTTAATGTTTTGACACAATACAATATATATTGGCATACCTAGAGTTTCCGGAATTGTTAAATATTCACATTGTCGATAGTACACTACATATTTAATAATACGACACTCGACCGATACTTTTTTCGAGACTCCCGATATAAACGCTACACTCGCTTGCTTGCAGATATTTATTCTTAGTAACTTAAGTTAGAACACAAATGTGATGAAATGACAAACAATTCTTACGAATAATTGATCATAATTCCTTTAATACTCACGAATGCGATTATACCCGGCACCACAAGCGACGCCATGAACATTTTACCTCGCAAACGAGGCAAGTGAATTTAACTTTGAGATTCCAAGTTTGCACCATACGCGAAATAAATATCATTCTTTACTATCAACTGCGGCAGGCGAATCGTTCGACAGCTAGTTTCTATTATGACTATTAGTCACTAGTACCAAATATGTCTGCGGCATATGAATGTAACCGGTATTGTAAATTATAACAATTATTTATCCGCGGAAATTAAAATTTTCGTCAATTTCATTAACATGTTTAATATAATATATAATGCGTGAAAGTACTATTGCGTAAAATTTTTATGAAAGAACTGTTACATATTCACATTATCAATAGTATGCTTTAATAATACGACAATTGTCTCTGATACTTTTTTCGACATTTCTGATATAAATACTACACGCGCTTACTTCCACAGATATTTATTCTTACACTTAGTAATTTAAAGTTATAGAATTCATGAAATACCAAACGATTCTTACGAATAATCGATCGTTTCTTTAATACTCACGAACGTGATTATATCTGCACCACAAGTGACGCTATGAACATACGCAAACGAGACAAGCCAACCTAATTTCGAGAGTCCAAGTTTGCACCATACGCGAATTAAATATTATTTATTAGTATACCAACTGCGGCATGCGAATTGCTTGTTCAGCTAGTTTCTATTAAACGTGACATAATCGAATATAAATTAATGCATATATGTATGAAATATAGAACGTGAATATGTCAAAAAATAATTTTTATCACTAGTTATTAATGAACACGTTAGTATATTTATTAGATGATTAATTTATATGTCTCTCAACAATATTATATGCATTGCGTGAGTTTTTAGACAACACATGAAAATAAAATCTTACATTAAATGTATGATAATTAATAAATGAAATAAGATAAACGTACTAAAGTCTTTTCCAAAAAGATATAGAAATCGATTTATTTGTTTTATAAATAAAAGAACAAAACGATGCGTTTAATATTTATAGTAAGACAAAGATCGCTAGATAAAAATCTGTAAAACACGATAAATGCGCTAAATACAAAATATATCACTTCTTTTTTTAATGAGTATTTCTATTCTTTTTAGAACTATACCTATCTTTAATTTAGCTTTTCATAGATATAAGCATTTATATCTCGTTTCGTAAAAATTATCATATTTGATGTATTATTTACGCACTACAGTTTTAAACAGGTTAGTAACTACTATACGTATATAGTGAAAACGGCCGGGCTTGCTTCCGAGAATCTCCTATTACACGCAGCATACTCGTATTTTTCAGTTTCTCGCTTAGTACTGACTCGGCTATCGCGAGGGTTACGTCGAGTTTTTCGCGTTTCTTATTAACATATTATAATATCCGAACGCGTTATTCGTATAATCTATAACATTCGTTTATAATATGAAGAGTGATCAATCAATTAAGATAAAGACAAAGTAACTCGTGCATTAATCATTTGTGATCAAAATTATATTAGTATTCTTATATTCAGTGTAGATATATATTGCATTAAATATGTCGTTTAATAAAAATTATAGCGCTCAACCGATTCACAATGGAGCGATATTTAATTCGTGCAAAATCGGAATCGCGAAATCGGCCCTAACAGACTCGGCGAAACCGGTGGGGTTGGGTATAGGGATGGGCGATGTTCAAAATAAAATCGATTTTCTTGTAAAAATAATTGATGAGTCGATTAATCAAATAAAAAATTATTAGTAATTAGGGTTATTATTTTATTATTTAATTTTTTTATATCTTGTTTCTTATTTAATACATTCTAGTTGTGTCCAAAGTTCTTCTACCTGAAAAATTATTATTATTGAGCCATCAATATACATATATATAATATAATATAATATAATATAATATAAACAATTTTTTTATTTATTCATGTACATGAGTAACTATACATCATCAAAAGACAAATATGCAGGGTTGCGCCGAAAGCTGCGTCGTATAGAAGGAATAGGTATACCATAATTCTTTCGATTTTGCCCAATAAAAATCGAAAATTGATTAATCAACCGACGAAAAAATCGACGAAATATAATCGATTATTTGAATTAAAAAATCGACATTTCCGATTAATCGAAAAACATCGCCCATCCCTACAGTGCGGGTTCAGTCGTGTCCAATCGTTGCGAGTGTTGGAAAAACGAGACCAATCCATCGCAATTAAAGCTGTGATCGCTGCAATCACTTATCATATCACGGTACGATATATATTACGCGATCATAATCTTGTGTCATCATCACATAATCTGTCTGTCAAGTACTGTGTCTCTCGGTGGTCAAGTTACGACTTTCAGTGTCGAGAATAAATATCACCTGTGCAAGTAAGTGTGAATACCGGAGAAATGTCGAAAAAATAAGTGTCGGAGGATTGTCGTATTATGTGTAGGTAGTATATTTTGTCGATATAGTGAGAACGTGCAACAATGTTCTCTCTCCGTGAAGACGTGTTAACTTCGTGCGTAAATCGTAATCTCGAAGTATTGTTAACGCATAGAGTGACAGAGTTTTCACACCTCAAAACAGACAAATATGTAACGTTTCACAAAATTTCATAAAGTGACATTACATTTTTATAATACATTTAGCCGATTAAACTTTTGTTCCACTTGCCGCGGCAATACTAACATTTTTATAATAATATGCTTATATTTTGAAACAATTTTATTTTCTTTCTTTTTTTACTTTTCTCTCTCCGCTCTTTCTTTCTCGCAACATAAGTCATAAATTACACACATTGAAATCAAAATTACTACTCGTGCAATACATTTTGATTCAGTAAATCACGTGTAAAATATCACGTTTTAATTGGTGAATTATCAGTATACATATAAACGTCGAATTTTTTGCTATGCAGTTGATAGATTTCAAAATTTTGTATTAAATAGGACTATAATTAATAAATCGTTATTAATTAAACGTGTCGTGTCATGCAACACGATCGATTCCTTGTGTACGTGACATTTTCTCAAAAATCGAAAAATTAAAAAATAATATCCGCTATACTTAAACTTTAATACCGATATTACACGAGTAAGAATAGTTAATGTTTAACATTACGCACTTTAAGTGCGATTGTCGTGTGAAAAAATAATCGTAAGGAATGATCGCATTAGAAGATTATTTATTGAGATTCCATTTAGAGAATAAATATGATACCATACTACTTGCTCGATAACAAATTAAAATGCTAATTAAAACGCGACGATTGTCCGAAAATATATATATAATATTTGTAGACAATAAAAGCGCGTGACACTTCTTGTGCGATCGGATTACAATCGAAAAGTCGTGCGCCGAGTTTTCAACGTAGGCGTTGTTATGTTTACATTCCGTTGCTTTGTTGTTATTCTCGCGGCGTCAGTCAAGGTAGTAGGCAGAGAGAGTCGTTCACGCAGTATCGTTCTATACGCGATCGCGACAAGTATTGCATAGATAAATACGCGGGCGATCACATTCTTTACGACATTTTTCAACAGTTCATGGCGTTTTAATCAATTTAACATTAACTCTATTCGTGTACATTCGTATCATAAGATTTTAAGTATCGTTGATGCTATTTTTTAATATTTCAATCATTGACGAAACATGTTTCAAGAACGAATTCGACTGTCCAGCAACATTTTGATATCTCCACTCGTAATCAACAACATTTTGATATCTCTCAATTGTATTAAGGAAAATTTAGGATATATATTTTCGAATATATATGTTTCAGATTCTTCATGTTTATTATTTTTATTGTTATGTATTTTTAATCACTTTCATGTTATGACGCATACATTTATTAGCAATGGAAAACTTGGCATTGTCACGGCAAGTAGTGCATAAATTAGACTATGCAATTTTCGAACGTCGAGTACCGATAATGCAGTATATGACGGTAATGTTTGCGTTGTTTTTTTGCCAAAATATACATAATAAAGTGTGCGTTAATTTTCGGGAGTGCGCGATTTTCGGGAGTGCCGTACGAAGTGACGTGCAATTATAATAACGTTTGTCCGCAAAGTATCAGTGTCCATCAACAAAAAGGATATAACGAGAAGAGAAGGAGGCCCAGGGAGGCATCGGGCATTGGCAACACAACCCGAAGGTGAGCAATTTACAATTCATTTAATTTATTACTTATTTATTTATACATTATTTGCATGCGTTTTTATTTTCGTAATAGTGATCTTTTATATTATTGAATAATATAATGTATAAAAAATTTTAGATTTTATATAATAAAGTATTGAAAATTATTTGTATTTTTATATAAATACATAAATATATATATATTTTAATATTGTGTTTAAAAATATATAATTATTTAAAATGTTGATAAAAAATTTAAATTTTTATTTATTACATGTGAAAGTTTTATATATAAATTTTTTTTAAACTAAATAATATTTCATTAAAAAAATCTATTTAAATAAACATTTTTTAGAGAATTATGTGCAATAGTAATTTTTAAAAGTGTTAAGAATAAAGGAAGAAAAATGTATAGAAAATTAAAGTGAAAGCAAAATTAGAAAAATTAAGAAAATTGATAAACATATTATTATATAGAGGAAAGGTATTCGCACGTTCCGACAAACAAATTCGCGATTTCATGATTTCGCTATAGTTTAGCAATTTCCTTAATTTTTCTAACTTTGTTAAATATATTTATATAAGATTATAGAAGTAATTACATAATGTAAAAAAAATAATGATTGTGCTTTTTCATATTATGTATCGTGCACAATATTGATATGAGTACAAATTTGTAATAGAAGAAAAAATAATAAAAAGAAAACAGATGTGCTTTTTAAGTGCTATATGTGTGATTAAAATATTAATTATTTTAGACATATCTTTTATAATTTATATATTATTTTATAAATTGTATATATTTCTATGTTACAGATTACATCATGTATCTCAACTTTGTTGTTGTGCATCGTAATGGTGAGTAATGAATTCTACATTTTTTTTTTATTTTAATCTTGAGGTGCAATAGATTTGTGAAATTTATATATTACATATGTGTATAGAAGTTTTATAAAAATAAATAATATAAAAATAATTTATATTATTAGTCTTTATATAAATTATTTGATATCTGAATTAAGAAATTTAATATTTAATAAAAATATTTAAATCTTTCATTTTTTGATAATTAAATGTTTATATTTTTGGATTGCTCAATTAGTATAATTTCATTAGTAGTAAGAAAATTAAATAAAGAAAATTGGAAATATTAATAAAAAAATTTGATAATTAAAATATTTAAATAAAACTTACAACAAAAATATAGAAAAAAAAAGAAATTAATAAAATTCTATATACAATGTTAAATCGGTTTGTAACAGATATGATAATAAATGATTATTCATATAACCATGGGCATGTCGTGGGATAATATGGAATGGACGATCGTAGCTGAAACTCGTTTGAGCTTAAATATTTATAATCGTCTTAGGCTCATAGTAATTAATGTCAATTATTAAAACATATTTTAATATTAATTATTATTAAAACTATTTAATTGCGTTCAGAACATACTTCTTTGTACATGTTTCATACTAGATATCGTTGATCTCCTCCCCTTTTTCCATTCATAAAAGAGCAATTAATAAAATTAAAGCGTTTAGAATTATTACCGACTTACGAAAATGTATCTACGTTTTTCATCATAATGACAAGTGATGCGATAAATGACGAACATGTATATTAAAATAGAAGTCAGCATTACACCTGTCTTGTCTGGTCGAGTGCAATAACACGGGAATTCTGATCCAACGATCGCAAAAATATCTTCCTCTCGTGCTTCTCCATCTGAATGCGACTTGTTCTATCATCGGGAACATAATGCCGCGCGGAGCAGGTACTCATAACGCTCGGCCAACTTGTTGAGATATAGCTCGGATAGTGTTTCAATCGCCGGGTCCCCCCGTATACCACGAGCGTCGACAATGATACGTGCACGTATGCAAAACGTATTACAATATTGGATAGCGGGGCTATGCATCACGATAGTCGAAATAAATCAGCCGGCAACAAGCCTCGACGTGTGGCGAGGGTAAGTCTTAAATAATTTAGCAATTTTTCGACGCCACGACCTTAAGGTCACGCCGAGCATCGCGTAAATCCCTTTGGCTGTAGCTCGTAAGGCCCTTCCCTTTCTTTCTTTCTCGCGCCGAGTACCGCATCGAGATACTGGAAACCGAGAGAAAATCGCGTGTTTGCGAAAAAAGCGCGTATCCCACGTGCTTGTGTCCGCGGTAATAAAAGAGTCGTGTGCTTCGCGTATACCGTTGAAACGCTTCTCGCAAATCGAGCAACAAAACATCGCGTATACTGCGGCGAATATTATGTAAGCGTTTCAGCATGCAAAAATGAAACCTGTCTCTTTGCCTAGTTTACTCCTCTCGCTAAAAGCTCAAAAGCAACGAGAAAAATTTCTAATCTTTCGGTAAAGAAATTTTTTAGTTTCCGTTTTATCGTTTTTTTTTGTTTAAATTAAAATTGGACATACATAAGTTGCCATTTGCAAATGTACGGACTGCTGTCCACTTTGTCAAAATCAATATTTACTTTTTTTCTATGCGTATATATTAACATTAATTTAAAGGTAAAGCGCGCTGCTATTAGGGGTTTTAAAAAATATTATATTCAAATATAATATTATATATTTAAAAGATAATATAGCAATCATATATTACATTAAAGATATATTGTTATTGAATTTCGATCATGTAATAATGATTATGAGCATGTATAAATATACTATAAAATAAACAATTCTCGCGTTAAAAAGTTGTAATTCGCGCGTAATTTTACAAGATTGCATCACAACATAACACGACTAACACTGTGTCTAAAGACGACAAAATGCCACTTGATCTCTCGAATCGCTCAAGTGTATTCATGCGTGTATATATATGTTCTCTGCTCTGTCTTTTTCTTCCTCTCCCTTTCTCCGCTCTCGTTCTTCTCCCTGCGCTTATAATGGCCAAACACATAATAAGGAGGGCAAAATGCTCCTGTATGCGATATGTAGGGCGGTTAACAATGGAGCACACCTGAGTACGAGCCGGTGCGTTTGAGATAGCTTTAGGGAGGTAGAAGGTACCGCATGGTGCATCGGTATGAAATTTGAGGGAGAGAGGGAGGGACAAGAAAGGGAACGGGATAAAAAAAACGAGCAAGCCTTGCACGGAGAAAGGCACAAGAAAAACGTAACAATGCTTTCAGCCTTTCTGCTGCGCTTCTTCTTTTCGTTTTTCTCTTCCTTCTCCTCTTCTCTTTCTCCGCCTCCTTTTCAACAGCGGCTGATGCTGCAATCCCGAACCTCTTCCCCGATCTCTTGTCGACGAGTTTGGGTGCCAATGCGACGCTCTCCGATTTGTTCGCAAAACACCGAACACAGGCGGTCACCTGGTATGCGCGGCATTGTCCAACAACGCGTGTGCGTGACTTGTCTCACTCACGTTTCTCTGTCCTTTCGAAAGGAGTCGGGCAGAATATTGCATTTTCTTATACTTACGACAGAATAACAGAGCTCTTTGATAAGGCGATATATTTTATAATGAATGTCACTGTGTTCGAGATGAGATAAATGGATCTTTTTTCATTTTTACTCGCTTAATATAAAATTATTTCACAAAGTATAAGAGCAAGTTCTAAAAGCTATAAACGCAACTTTTTTTTATTAAATTTATTCTGCTCATTTATTAATATTCTTTATCCCAGGAATATCTACCTAACAGTTATACGTAAGTGTAGCGTATTTAAGTATATGATTCTTTAAATGTATTTGGCGTTATGTCTACAATTCTGCTTGCCGTTAATAACTTCCCTTTGATCAATTACTTTTCAAGTACTTTCGACATTAATGTTTTTTCACCGCTGCGAGAGATCATTAACCATTGCAGGCTCGCTGCTCCCGACATTAAAATTTAAAACGGCGGTGATATAATTACGAGCAGCGGCTGAGATTTGCTCTTGCCGAGAATTCTTGAATCGCCACTAATACCGTGCTGTAAAAAAAATTAATAGTTGCATCTAACAAAATTTTTATAACACATATTATATTTGTATATATACATATATATATATATATATATATATATATATATATATATATATAATTGAATAAAAAATTGTTCGCGATATATTCGATAAGATATGATATTTTTAATTGCTGAGATTTTACCTTAGACAAACATTCTGATGTTTACGAAGCATGTTAAAATGTTTATGTTATAATCTACATTCCTTTTTCCGACAACATTGACCATGTAAGAAAAAATTCAGACAAGTAGAATGTATAGAAAAAATTAAATATCTGCATTCGTTCGCGAAAGAAACATCTGTGTGTATGCATATTCTGCAATAATATAATCACTATGCATCGGTATATCGTTGTGGCAAGTATAGTTAATTCTCGTAAATTATATTGATTTTGTTATTAAAGTCGCGGCGAATGAGAGTTACTCGCGATGGAATGCTGCAGAAAGAGAGCTCCACACATGTTCAAAGACCCTGTAGACGGGATTCTCGGGCGAATCGTATAAGAGGGAATGAACGTAATCTGAAGTGTACGTAACGAAAGAAGCTTTCACGCGATATCGGATTATTGCCCGACTAATAGCCACCATCGACAAAAACGAACGTTGCTAATGAATCCGAGAGTATTGAACCTCTTATGAAATCATGAGATCTCAGTCATTCATAACCTGTTGGAAAAAAATTTTTTTTCTAATTTAATAGAAAAGTTGAAATTAATCCAGATTAAAGGAATTTAAATTAATTCAAAACGAATGTGTTTACGGTATAGATTTTTATCTGCTAACATAATTCCGAGAAAGCTTCGATAGATATCGCTTACAACTGTGTCCCTGCGCACGCCAAGAATTATAACAACAGTCAAGAGGGAGATAATTAAACCTCCAGTGTGTCTTAAGTGCCGCTCTTTTCCCCGTCCCTTCGACAGTGTCTCCTTCTTGGTGCAACGGGATAGTTATTTCCTGCCTGTCCGTCCGCGCTATACGTGACCCTCAAGGCCGACATGGATATGACATGGATGAGTGATTTTGTCGGACGTGCGTTTAAGATGAAAACGTATCTTTCTTCGATTAGAGTATTTGTTCGTATCTCACGCGGTTCGAAATAAATGAGCGTTCGGTTAAACTTATCGACGGAAGTTGTTACGTCATATTACACAATGAATCCAGATAAATCGCGTCGTGCACGATTTACAAGTACAAGTCAAGGGTTATATGTGTTAACTATACTTGAATAACGAGTCATGTGTCGAACCGTGTAACGGTGCTAGTTAAGAGGCTTTTCAATCCAAACGTTTACGACAATCCTTTATTCTATCCAGTCGTAACTTAAACAGAACTTATATTTATTTTAACTCGCGATTGCGCGATTTACGATCAATATATAATCCTATACGAAAGACTGCGAAGCGTGCAGTTACGATCGAACAGCGAATTTCGAACGGTGAACAATAACGCTACCACAATATCGGGTGATGCCACGGTCGTCTAGTTGATAGTGAAAATCGAAGCAACCTGATCCAAGGGACCAAGGACCCGCTGCATAATGGAGAGGCTGTCCTTAACAATCGTGTAAAAAGACGCCGGGCCATTTTAGATTGAGGAATATTGGGGCATTGTGAGGCCGCGCGGTCGACATGCGTGTCCGTATGCGTGTGTACGTTGACAATGGGAAGCTTAGTGGGTGCGTTAATCCGGCGTGTGTGAGGCTGGACTGTGGGAATATTTCGTTGGGAGAGAGAGGAATAATAGAAGGAAAGAGAAAGAAGATAGAGACGGCGGTCTTGACTCTATTGTTGCATCTCGCGGCGATACTATCTGCCGGTACACGCGATGCCTCTGTCGGCGAGCCGACAGTGTTGACTCGCGTTTAAAGTCTCGTATACATTTGTGTGCGAG